TTGGACAAAATAAAATTAGGAATATTTTGGATTTATTGGGATTTTTTAGGAATTTTTGGAATTTTTTAGCTTTTTGGGCCATGAAGGGGCATTTTGGTAATTTGGTCATTTTTGTCAGTTTTGACAAATTTGGATGTATTCAAAGTGTTTGGAATGAGTTTTGATCAATTTTGGGTATTTTGGCAAAATTTGGGAATTTCGGCCAAATTTGGGTTCCATGGGCAATTAAGTAATTTGGAGGTGCCTCGGGGCAAAAAGTTAAGTTGGGCATTTCAAGTGCAATTGGGTAGAGAACCATTCTGAATGAGTCATAGACCAATGTATTATGAAGATATGGTGTACCCTAGTTCCAAGTCAACACCCAGGGTCAATCCTAAGGCCAAGTAACCCTATAAGAACTCTTCTTGAGCTCTCCCATAATGGTCTTACCTTCTAAATATTAGAGGTTAGGACCAATATGTGGAATCTCAAGTTGAGCAAAGAGAAGAGTTTGAATTTCTAATGGTGAGGATACCTTTTCTAGTTTTCCAAGACTAGTCAATATGAAAGTCCTATGGCTAGACCTAGGCTACTAAAGAAGTTTCTAGACCTCAACCAAAAGTGAGGTCAACAGTGAATCTCTCCAATCTTTAACTTTGCCCCTTTGTTAGACAAAGTCTGCAAGGAATTCTACAACCGATTGTGCTTTTATTTCCATCTGAGGGGTGTAGGAGATGTCGAACCTGCTGAGTTTCATTTCCCATTTAAGTAGTCTACTAGAGTGTTCCAGCTTGGTGATGACAAAATTAGTGGATGATCGGTGGTGACTTGCATGAGATGTACTTGAAAATATGATAGGAGTCTCTGTGTGAGATGACCAAGGTGAAGGTTAGTTTCTCTATTATAGGGTATTAGAGTTTGGCACCTTTGAGGACACGATTGTATAGTACACTGTATGTTGTTTCTAGAGTTCTTCTTTGACCAATACTGAGTTGATGGCTTCGAGGCTGACCCCGAGGTAAAGGTAAAGTTTTTCCTTTGGATTTGTGCTCTAGAGGAGGAGAGGAGAGACGAGGAACATCTTGAGTTCCCTGAAATCTTCCTCGCATTCTGGTCTCTATTCAACACATTTGGTTTTCCTGAGTACTTTGAATGACAGAGCACATCTATCACCTGATTTGGAGATGAACTTGCTCAAACCTGCAATCCGACAGGTCAGCTTCTGGATTTCTTTGGTGTTTCTAGGAGGGCATGTCAAGGAGAGATTGGATAATTTTCGGGTTCGCCTTTATGCCTTCAAGGGTTAGCAAGTATCCCAGAAATTGCTCGTCGTAGCCCCAAAGATACATTTAAATGGGTTCAATTTCATGTTAAATCTTTTAAGTGTAAGAAAAATTTCTTTTAGGTCTAAAATGTGTTACTCAGTCGGCCCGACTCTTAACTAACACATCATCAACATACACCTCAATGTTTCTTTCCTTTTTATTTGCAAAGGTTACATCCAACAAACGTTAGTAAGTTGCCCCGCGTTTTTAAGTTTGAAGAGCATTACATTGTAATAGTAAAATACTTCACAAGTAATAAAAGAGATTTTTTCACATTAGTCGGATGCATTTTAATTTGGTGATACCCGGAGAATGCGTCGAGGAAGCTTAGAACAGAATGGTCGACCACCAAATCTACCAATACATTGATCCTTACAACAGACATGCGTCTTTTAGGCAGGTTGAGCTCAGGTTTGTGATGTTCACACACATCCTCCATTTTCCATTATCTTTTTGCACTATCACCATATTTGAAACCCAGGTAGGGTACTGCATTTCTTGAATGTATATGACCTCCTTTAGCTTTTGTAACTCCTCTCAGTGGGTTCAGCGAATGTCATGGCCAAGCTCCTTTTCTTCTGCTTCATGGGCCGAGTCGATGGATTGACATCAGTCTGTGGTAGGAAGCATTGATCGACACACCTGACCTTTTGGCCGCCGTCCATGTGAAGACCTCTCGGTTCTTTTGGAGGGTTTGAATCAACAACTCTTTATGTCCTACATCAAAAGCCTTGCTTATTACAAAACATTAACTTGGTTCCCCTTCAACGGGCAAGACTTCATGCATGGTGTCATTAGTCTCGAGGCCTTCTGGATGTCAAGGGGATCGTGCTCCAAGCTGCTTATGGTCCGCAAGTAGCAGACTTGAGACTATTCTAGGTTCCCCATGATTGTGATAATTTCTTCATCTTCAAGGAATTTGAAGGTGACATGATAAGTAGAGATCAACACTTTGAAATTGTTCAAAACTAGCCAACAAAATATTGCATTATATGTCGGGAAAGAATCCATCATTAGGAAATCCTCAGTTTCTTTTTCCCCCCCCCCCCCCCAACTTATCAGGTTGTTTTTTGTTGTATTGTGTCAATCACTTCTGGTGTTTTTGTTCAGTGGGTTCTGAGGCGTTCTCATAAGCAACGATAGACTTGTTGGCCATCTTTAGCAGCTTGACCAATCTCTATAGCTATGAAAGTTCAAGGTTAAAATGAAATCTTTCCGACCTCACTCGCTATGTCAGTGTAACTTGGCCATGTTGGGTTTCAAATGCTTAACATCCAACATTTCTCTATAGAAACAAGCGATAAGTGATTGCAAGCTCTCTCCATGCTTCAGTTGCCATAGCGATCAGGCATTTGTTTAATTAGGTCTCTAAGCACTAACAAACTGTGATAGAAAAAATCTCATGAACTCCGCGAAACAGGGGATTACGCCTACGGGCAAACCGTTGAACCACCTTAATGCGGTTCATCTCAACGTTGTGAAAAATAACTTACACTTGAGGGCATAAAAATTTTTCATCAGACATATGGATGATTCAAACGATGTAAGATGGCCGTTGGGAACTGATCGTTCTATATGATTCTAAGATGGGCATTTGAACTTCTCCAGGGGTTTAGTTCTCGAGACTTGTAGAGAAAACATTTTTCATCTGCCTTTATACCTCAGTTTGAGCTGGTTGGTTCTTCTCTTCCACATGGGAGGAACCGACACTGTCTTGGTATAACATGTTGGCGGGCTTCTCTTGTAGGTGAATCGTTCTTCTCTTGTTATTTGTCGGTGTTTTCTCTTGAGGGGGGTCAATTGCCTCTAGTTCGACCGATCCTCCTTCTGGAAATGGCGCCATTGTTAGGGCAGCGACATCTGGTTGGTGATCTAGGTCATCATGTCTTGCAGACCTTGCTGGATAAATTTTTCCATGAACTCCCGGGTGCATGTTGCTTTTGTTGTGATCCTCTGGCTGGATTCTCTCGGTTGTTATTGTTGAACTTCTCTTCTTGTTGATGACATGTTTTCACGCTCGCCTTACCTTCAAAAGTGTTGAATCCCAAAGTCTCTGGAGAACACACCCAAGGCATAGAGCATTAGGAGAGAGAGATAAGTAGAAGATGATAGAGCACCGTAGGGAGTAACAAAGAGAGTACATCCTTCATTCATATCATAGACCCCATATTTATAGACATAAGTCTCATCATTACAAAAATACATGTTAGCCCCCTCAGCATTCATATTTTAGATAGATTTTTTAGTAATTATATAATTATTTGCATATAACAAGATCGGGAGGCTGAATCGATTGATAAAAGTTCCCCGACCGTCCGACAAGGCTTGAATCGATCTATATTTAATCCAAAAGGATGTTTCCTGTTGATCTTCCTGAGGGATGATCATCGCATGCGGGAAATCTTCTGGCACGTTCCGCTGATCGCCCGAACAAGATGCTTCACTAGCCATCGTCCAGCCCAAAACAATCGCCAACAACTACGTTTGATTTGTAGTTTCTTCATTCTGAGTCGTTCATCTGTCTTGAGATTTGTGTTGAGATATTTTATATGTACACTACTAAATCAAATATCACGTGATCTCAGAAAGACCTAATAGAAAATTTCCATTTGAGTGGCAATTTTTGTGAGAATCCTTGTAATTTTTTGACTTATTTCATTTTTTTTCAATTTGGGCTACCTTCTATCAGTAACTTATTTATGTGTTATTTTTTTCTATTTGAAGGACAGTTTGATTTTTTTTTAGTATTTTGAAAATTGTAGTATCTAATCTATACCTCAAGTAATAATATATTCTATTTCTAATGCAAATGGTGTGCCTATAGCTTATGAACCATATTGTTCCATCATCTACGTCATCATTTTTGGCTGGGACAACCGTTGAATGTTGATTATCTTACTCCAAACACCATCCACCGCCCATATTCTCATTCCCTCACCATTCTACAACCACTTCCCACTGAATCTGTTTCCCAAACATCTTATAAGAGCCCTAGAATGATATCATCAAAATTTTCAAGAAAAGTATTAAGACAAATACAACTGAATAATATATTTTCTATTGAATTATTTCAAATATCCAACACTAAAGACAAACCTTCCAAAAAAAAAAATAAAATTTCAAAAACCAAACTTTGAGTCACTTTCCCTCTTCTGGCATGTTTGACTCAAACTTTGAGTCACTGTCTCTCTTCTGGAATGTTTGATTGCAGGCAAGATTTAGCATTACTAGAATTTAGTAAATCCAACTTCATTAAATTCACCCCCAGCTGAATTTTCTAAATTCAATTTTAAAGTAAATACAAGTTAAAATTCAAACCTTACATCCAAAATTTCTCAATTTCACAAAACTGACGTATTTTGCATAAAGCCGGCCATGGATCCAGTCAATAGGCGTAATCCACCACCCCCCTTCTCTATATTTACCTTCCCAATCTTATCCAGACATGGAAATCTAAACCCAGAGCAACAATGGCGCTACCTATCCCTCTCCTCCTCTCCATCATCTCTCTCATTCTCCTTCCCTCTCCTTCGGCCGCCAACGAAGGCAACATCCTCGCCACCGGCGACGTCCTTCCCACTAACGGCCAGCTCTCGTACAAAAAATACGCCTTTGTCATTCAGGACGACTGCAATCTCGTCCTTTACAACGGCGCCAATGGCTTCCAGTCCAACACCCACGGCGCAGGCTTCAACTGCACCCTCAGCCTCTCCGGCCTCGGCGAACTAGTCATCAAAAGCGGCGACGGCTCGCACGTCTGGTCCTCCCCCGGCGGAATCAAACAGGGCAATTATGTCGCCGTTCTTGGCCCCGACGGTCTCGTCAAAGTCTTCGGCCCCTCGATCTGGTCAACCCCCGAGCTGTCTTCTTCATCCGCCGCCATTGAAGCCGAGCTGAGCACCGTGCCGTCGGTTCGTAACCTACTCTTCTCGTCGGATGTTCTGCAGCAGAACTTTAAGCTGGAGAGCAGAGACTACACTCTGGAGCTGACCGACGTCTGTAACTTGGAGTTTCGTAAGGCGTCGGTGGGAGTGGTTTGGGAGAGCGGGACGAAAGGTGAGGGGCAGAATTGCTTCGTTAGGTTTAACAATCGAGGCCGTCTTGCCGTTGTTAATGGCAAGTTTAAGGTTTTGTGGCTGAGCAAGCCGGTGGGGGACGCGGGAGATTACGTTCTTGTTGTTCAGATCAACGGGCAGGCGGTTATCTACGGGCCGGTTGTGTGGTCTGCTGGTTCTTGATTTTTGTTCTTGCTGTTTTGTAATGTTGCTTGGTTCGATTTCTGTCTCGGCGTTCTCTGGTTTTAAGAGAACGTGATGAATAAAGATTGTCTGCTGTTCTGTGCTTGGGCTCGAAGTTTAATGGAATAAAGCTGTTGCTTGCTGTGGGAAATTTTGTAGATCTAAGTTGTGATGAGCGTGAAAGAATTGAGAAGTTATGTAATGATGAGATCTATCCGAAGGAAAATATTCTTCAAAAAAAGATTTTTTTTTTTTTAATGATTTGGTTTGCGTTTATTTTTAGGTGGTTAAAAGTTAATTTGGTTCAGGCAAGCATTTCGGCTTGGCATCAATGCTGCAATTATGTATTCTATTTCCATTGATGAATATTGCAATTATTGGCTGTTAAAAAGGAGAAATATTTGCATATGTATAACGAACGCAGAGTTACCTACGTCGGTAGGTTACAGAGAGGGTATTGGGGGGTTATATCCGCATTATATCCCATGTAACCTCCCTGCAGCATACCTGTAACCTACCTATAACTAGTAAGTTTCGCGCTTCTATTTTCATATATTTGTAAGTTATAAGTAGGTTACAGGTAGGTTACAGAGAGGTTACATGAGGTATAACACAGATATAACTCTCCAATACTCTCCCTATAACCTACCGACGTACGCAAATATTTCTAATTAAAAAGAGGTGGATATCATAACAATTCTTAGCTGTGGTTTAAAAATCTCGCTAAATTATGTCAGTTTAAAAACCTTCGCTTTTGACCACGTTTTAAATTCCCTTCCTTTGAACAAGTGTTTCCTTTCCGCGTATTTTTTGACTCAGAAGGTGGCATCATTCTTGTGAAAGAATTTTGTGAAAACCACCCTCGTTGCCAGACGAAAATTTGCATGCCCAATACGGCAAAGGAATTTGGAAAGCTTAAATTTTCCGTTTAAAGATATATTTGGGCAGCTGCATTTTATTAAAAATTAACTTTAAAAATAATTTGATATTAAAAAAATTACTGCATGTTTTACGATAAATTTTTTTATTATTATTTTTTTTTTGTAAAAGTCAGATTGTAATTAGAAAACTGCCACCACATCTAAGTCAACACCGGCGTAAAAACACAAATTTAAGCAACAAAATTTTGAAAAAATTGTCAAAATACAATTTACTCAAGTAGATAAAATTGTGGAGCGGTGCCGCACCGCCACCACACGATGCCACAAACAGACCCTTAATCCTCATATGTCTTTCTCAGTCAACATTTTTTTTCTCTTAATATATTTTATTTGAGATTATGTTACCAAATATTTTAGTATATTAGTTGTTATGTTTGAAATTTTAGACAATGCCTTCTTTTACATGATGAATAGATCATTTAATCTTGTCATTCAATTGAAAAAAAAAGGCTTTTATTTTAGAATAATAGAGAGCATTTTTATTTCACATCTAACATTTACTATTATATATTTAAACAAAAATTTGAAAAGAACGCTAAACCCATCCTTCTAAGTTCCTCACTTAATGATAGGAAACTCTAAATGTAATCATCATCTATGACAAGCTTATCCTTAATTAACTTAATTAAAACATATTTATAAATGGGTTTCATGCTATATATCATATATAATACATCAAGGAGTCTCTAAAAAGAGAAATATTGATAAGAGCACTTATTAAATTATGATGTCATGTATAATAACAAATGATGATTTTTTAAATGCACTAGATGACATAGTAGAGTTGTCATACGTCCCACCTCCATTGGTGAAGTCAAAGAGTTTAAACAAACATCCCAAATGATTACTTTTCTTTCTGCTTGGTGGACTCTAAACTTATTACTAAAAGCTTTAATTGGTTCAAAGATCCAACTTTTGGGTTAAACTAAAATGGCATGAAAGATGAACAGAAGGAATAAACATTATATCCATTCAAACTCTTATGGCGATTAAAGAATGATATGTTGGACCTTTCATTCTATGTTGGATAGCCAATTCTCTTTTTTGCTAAAAAGGTAGTTGACGAAAATGTTATGTGAAGGATGCTAATAAAACTCATTTGAGCTTTCGGGAAAACTCGTCGAGGGGGTTTCGAGCCTCTTGGGACCCTTGAGGTTCGATATGAGCACGTCATGATCCGTGGACCCCCGCAGAGGTTGTAAGTGCATCTTAAGAGTTCTAGAACACACTCCATATGCGTGTCACCGAGTAAGAATGGTTCCAATGTGATATCCGTTTATCCAGACCTTGGGCTTAAGGCATGATCATGGTGTGGAGTTATTCCGTCGATGGTCTGTGTCATGAGAATGTTTGTATCGACATGGTTCAACTCCTTATCATAGAAAGGGCATCAACACGAAAGATACCGAAAGTGACTTCGGTTTTACAACAATCGACTCAGAGCGCGGTTATGATGGTGCCCGAAGCATTCACTTAAAGGTACTAAGGGTTCCTGGAGCCACGGTTGGGTGTGGACAACCTGCAATATGGTCTTGTGTCACCTCATTCAATACATAAAAAATGGATGCCAACAAAGGACCCATAACAAGAAAAGTTTTGCCACAAAGGCGCAATGCACTTGTTGGTAGCATACCATTTTTGAATGAGTCAAGATTAGCGAGATTGTCAGCTTAACCTGTCGACTAAATTGGCTAAAAAGTCGAAGCTGGCTTGTCAGATGCGATGCCTCGCTTCCAATGGATGTCAACTCGGCTGGTAAGGGGAAGAATCCAAACACATTAGGTTGGAAAGCTTTAAGACTCACATCCCACCTAGAAAAATAAAGAAAAGGGGTTGACTAGGTCGAGAGAGACTATCGTGGGACTCGTGCCAAACTCGAGCACTAGTCAAAGTGATCAGCTCTAGAAGGAAGGTCGAGGGACTTATATCCATCTTGACAACTGACTGAGGTACAGAGCCTCAAAAACCTGCTACAATAAGAAGAATTATCGAGGGACTTACATTCAGCCTTAAGGGAACGCAAGGTAAGAAGGCTACATAATCATTTGTAATCTATGTTATCTATAATGCTTTCTCGTAAGGAGCAGACCAAGATCTAATTGTGGTTCCCTTTGAGAAGAGCACCCATAGTTCAGTCAAGTGGCATTTAGAGCCTGATATATCCTGACTTGAACCACAATTTACCAATGACTGAATAATATGGTCAACTAAGACGGTCGAATCATCTTGTTTGATCAAGTCTTCTATTACATAGATCGAGAAGGAACATCGGGGGAGTTGCATCCAACTCAAATGCTGCAAAAGGTGATGTTGACCTCATTTTTATGAGGTATTCCTTTCACTCTCCTTAGAGCCTAGGATCTAGTCTTAGGATCTTTTTGTCTCACTATCCTAGAAAACTAATATTGAGACTTACACCAATTATAAAATTCGAACCATCTCTTGATTCATTGTGGTCTCATATGTATGGTTTTGAATTCTCAATACTTAGTTGAGTTGATTGAAACCAAATATTGAAACCCGAGTTGAGTTCCTATATATATCAACGTGCTCTAGGCAACCTTCTTTCAAGCCTAGAGACTTTGACTTTATACTTTAAGTGTCTTTCGACCTTAATGGACCCTTTCAATTAAGCCTAATAATTCCTCTTAATTTATACTTTGGTTCAGGTGAAATCAGACATGTTTGGAGTCTGTTTTAAACAACTGTTGAATTTAAGTTGAAAATAAAAAAAAGAAATTAATTAATAAAAAAAAATCAAATTAAAGTTGAAACTAAACATGTGAATCAATAATCAAGCAATTTTAGATTCAAATTGAAATTAAGAAAAAAAAAACAATCAAACCATATAATCTTAATTAAATTTCTCACTAAATATAAATGAGGGTAAATTGTTTAACAAATTTGTAATAAAAAGAGTAATAAAAAAATGAAAATAATAAAATAATTTTAGTTTTCTAAAAAAGTAATATATCTAAAACAATTATGAATTAATATTTTCACAACTTTAATCAATGTAATGAAAAATTTAAATATAAAATTGAAATTATAAACAAAATAAATTTAAAATATAATTAATTCAAATTATTAAAAAAAACTTAAATTTGAATAAGAAACATATTAAATGAATTTACATAAATTTAAAATAGAATTGAACTAAGTAATAAATATTGTTAGATTGAAATAAAAATTAACAAAATAATTCCTTTATATAATCAATTAAGTAAATTAATTTTTTTTTCGGCTATAGAACCCACTTAAACTCGTTAAACATGGACCCCAAAATTCATTCGGTCTCTTTCCCGCGATTTTTGTTTTTTTTTTCGCTCGGCTTCCTCACATAGCCGGAACCTTCGCCGGCTTTCTCCTCTCTGCCACCGGCCATCGCCGTGAATCGCCTGAATCTGGCCGGAATAAAGTTGACGAGGAGTTACTGAAGAAGCGGTACGATACCGAGCTGTGATCATTGTTGCAAGTAAATGGTAATCGAAGAAACGATCGCTGGCTCTTTTCTTGATATCATATTCGAATCCTCACTGCCGGGGGATTCATCGTCAAAGAAGATCGCCGTCAGCGGTTCTTCAACCCCTCCGTCAGCTAATTCTAGCTTTGATTGCAACATCTGCCTATCGTTTTCCCGCGGAAGTCATCCAATCCTCGCATTTTGATAGCTTTCTCCGTTTCACCGGTTACATCGCCTCCTCTGGAACCAAACGGCCACGATTCCCCTTTCGCCGGGCCTCGCACTTCCACAATGCCTCAAAATGCGAGACATCCACCATCAATTCCATGGCTTGCGACCCGGCGTTGGCTCACATCGCGATTACTCACGACGAGGAGTATCTCTGCGGATAGATCGCCGCTGTCCAACTTTGACTACGTGCAGTTCTTGGTTCTTAACTCTTACTCTGCACGTTCTTGATTCTTAGCATTTGATCTGAATTAAAGCGGAGCATAACATCAACTCCTACATTCATATTTCTTTGCCATGAGAAGTCTCCGTCCCATATTCAGTCAACCTCTTCGAAGGTCCGCTCACTTGGCGGAAAATTACCTCAGAAAAGTTATCGGAGTAGAAACATCCTGCCGGTGGTCTCGTGAACTCCCTGGCCAACTATCTAATGTCTTGAGATCCATCCCCGACTTCGGGGCAACTTCTTTTCCAAGCCTAAACTGCCTCACGCTTTTTCTTGATATACCGAAAAGGATGAC